TAACAAATATCTTCGTGTATCATCATTAGTGTTTTCTATATAACAAACATAACAAAAAAAACACTCACCTGTGTAGCATCATCAGTGTTGTTGTTGTTTTTTTTTCATAACAAACATTAAGATTTAAAAAGTCACCTGTTCATCATATTTTTTTTCCTTCTTTTCTTCTTTTATCAAACATTATAAACAAATAATGACAAAAACACTTGTGTATCAGATGAGTGATTGCTCTTACAACAAACATAACAAATAAAAAACAAAAAAACACGCACCTGCGTACCATGTATTTTTTCAACTAACATTAACAGAAAGAAATCAAAAGAAAACAAAGAAGGAAAAAAAACACACACACCTCTTCCACGTCACTTTCCTTTTTTTCTTCTTTTATTTTAATCAACATCACAAATAAAATGTGACAAAAAAAAACACTCACCTGTGTATCATCATCAGTGGGTTTCCTGTCGTCGAGTTTTTTGAACTGCAGGTGGTAAGGCGCAGGTTCCAGCAACAGCACGGTGGCAAACACAAGTTCCTGGTCGTGGTCCAGCTGTTTTGGAAAGGGAGGGAAGGAGGAGGAAGGGTGGAATTAAATGATAGTTTATTATTGGAAATTAGAATAAAGTTTTTGTTTAAATATATATATATATATATGTATATATATAATAATAATAACAATAACAATAATAATAATAATTTCAGTATAATCGCCAGTAGGATACATTGATAAGGACAGAGGAGGAGGAGAGGGAGAGGGGTTAGACGGAGACAGAGTTAGAAAGAGAGAGAGAGAGAGAGAGAGAGAGAGAGAGAGAGAGAGAGAGAGAGAGAGAGAGAGAGAGAGAGAGAGAGAGAGAGAGAGAGAGAGACTTAGAAATAGAGAGAGAAAAACAGACAGACAAACTTTGAAATAGAGAGAGAAAAACAGACAGACAGACAGACAAAGTGACAGAGACATAGCAACTTAGACAAATTGCCATTATTACCTGTACTTCCGGTAACCTAACAGGAGAAGCGTCCGTACCTCCTTGGATCTGACTGAGTAAAATTGTCTTAAACTCGTCCGGTTTTTGTGAAGCTCCATGCTCCCAAACACCTGGAGGAAAAATTGATTCTCAGATCAGTTTTACGAAATTTTGTATCATGAAGTACGTGAGAGAGAGAGAAAGAGAGAGAGAGAGAGAGAGAGAGAGAGAGAGAGAGAGAGAGAGAGAGAGAGAGAGAGAGAGAGAGAGAGAGAGAGAGAGAACTGTTTACACAAGATTCACATAAAAGACTACTAAGAAAGGATTATCATACTGTACACCAAGAAAGAAAACCTTAAAGTGGTTATTAAGTATGTCCATTACCAAAACACACACACGCTTCGCTGAAACTTTTGTATATGCACTAAAGACAAGCTATTGGATATCTGTTTTCAACTGAAAATGTAAACAAATCCTTATAAATAGTTATTCCAAGGCCTTTAATATATCTGCTAACTTAAGACACGTACACTTATGTTTTTATTATTATTATTAATGATGACCTCCTTCTATTTCGGCCAATTATCCAGTAATTATCTAATTATCTTTTTTTTAATATATTCTGTTAATCTATCCTAGCTCCCAGATTTTATTTTTCGAAATGTCCTAATAATTGATACCCTACGCAATGAACGAAGCTTCGAAACACGCATACCAGATTACTTCACACGGTTTAAAACATGGTTCATTTCATGTCTTACCCGGTTTTATACACACACGAAACAATTATCAGAACGCAGCATACCCTACAGATTACTTATACACTATACACTACAAATTACTTATACATTATACACTACAGATACATTTATCCAATCCCGGCCACGCAAAAAAAAAACATACAGTTCCGGACAAAAGACGTGCCGTGCATCAGAGCTTCGAAACCCTCCGAACCAAAAAACGAAGCGGGGGAAGGTCACGTTATTCGGACATTCGATACGAAATTCGAAACCTATCTTAAGCTATGGTTTCCTAGAAAAGCGGTGCCGCTATATTACGTCCGTAACATTACGTTGGATGACGTCGCAAAAACTGTTACATTATTTTCCTAGAGAGCGGTGAACGTAAGATAGCGGTGGCGCCAGTGTTGTGACGGCCGTCATAGCGGTAGCATACTCTCCGCCGACGGTTTATTACGTTGACGGTGTGACATTACGGTATTGAAATTGGAATCTGTTTCAGATATAACAATGTGGAATATATATATATATAATAATAAATATATATATATAATAATAACAAATATATATATATAATATATAATATATATACAAATATATATATACAAATATATATATATATATATATATATATATATATATATATATATATACATATATATATATATATATATATACAAATATATATATATATATATATATATATATATATATATACGTGTCTAGATCGTCCATACTGCGTGTGTTCTCTTTCCGCTTGATCTCAACGTAATGCAATCACAACACAGTTCTAACTTTACACCCTTGAGCGGCCGTTACGTTACGTTCGCCGCACAACGTAATGTTACGGACGTAATATAGCGGCACCGCTTTTCTAGGAAACCATAGCTTTACAAAGACTTTTCGACCGTCGGGGAAACGTACCTGAATAAGTTATCTTGACCCAGGTGCGTTGCGAGGGGATGTCCATGCACTCCCTCACGTCGAAGGGGTTGAAATTGGTGCTGAGGAAAGAGGTTTGCATGTGAAGGAGGTTGACGGTGTATCTAGAGAGAATGGCGCTGGCGTTGTCGTCCCGGTAGATCGTCACGTCCAGTCGTACCGGGAGAGGTCGTCCCTTCTGCTCTCCGATGTCTGCCATGTCCTCCTGGGGAAGAATAGTAATAATGATAAGTTGTTTGTTAAAGGGTTGTTTTTTGGGTTTCTTTTTCTCGATTTTTATTCTCCTCTCTTCGCTTCTCTTCTTTCTCTCTCTCTCTCTCTCTCTCTCTCTCTCTCTCTCTCTCTCTCTCTCTCTCCTCTCTCTCTCTCTCTTCTCTCTCTCTCTCTCTCTCTCTCCCCCCTCCCTCTCTCTCTTTCTCTCCCCCCCCCCTCCTCTCTCTCTCTCTCTCTCTCTCTCTCTCTCTCTCTCTCTCTCTCTCTCTCTCTCTCTCTCTCTCTCTCTCTCCCTCCCTCCCTCTCTCTCTTTCTCTCCTCCCCCCCCCCTCTCTCTCTCTCTCTCTCTCTCTCTCTCTCTCTCTCTCTCTCTCTCTCTCTCTCTCTCCCTCTCTCACTCTCCTTATATATTGATCTATCTCTATAAACAAACATCCAACTAATTTAAAAAAAAATGAACAAACAAATAAACAAACAAGTACACCTATCTATCTATCCATAAACTAACAAACCAACAAATCTAACAAAAAAAAACTAACAACCAGACAAACGAACAAAAACTCACCGTCAGGAACTGGTAGTCGACGACCGCCACCTTGAAGTTTTCTCCGGTCTCGGGGTTTCGGATATCGTCTCGTGTCGCCGACCAGCGCGAGGTCTTGATGCCACGGGTCTCGCTGTAGCCTGAGAAGATGTACCTGGAGAGAGGGGGGGGGGGGGAGAGAGGTTAGTTAAGGTCCAAGTGGATATGGAGGGAAATGTCAATTTAGGTCAAATGTATCGGGAAAGTCGCTTAGATGAAAGGTCACTAGGAAACCGTGGGAAGATAAAAGAGCGATTTAAGTAACGACAGCAGTGAGTGAGTAAGTGAGGGTGTGTTTGTGTGTGTGTGTGTTCTCATCTGTTTGAATTAGACTCACCTTTCATCCAAATGAAACAGCTGATCCGGATTGGCCATGATGACATCCCCCAACACGGGATCACCTGATGCATGAAATGGCAAAAAAAAATAAGTGAATATAATATAAAGAAAATATTAGTACCCATAGCACACAGACAGTATAGAGAATACAATAAAGTCAATTAGTAAAATAACAAATTAAGTATATACCAGTTGTTTTATAACGAAGCAAGCGGATTGAACATTCTCGAACCCTGATTCGAAAACAACTAGCCCACAGTGTTGCCAAATCCATTCTCGAAACCTCAATTTAAAACAACTCACCTATAGTGTTGCCAAAATCATCAGCATCCAGCGCCATCATCTCACACTGCCCAGATACTTGGTCGATCTTGTAGTGAATACCTGAAAACAAAATACTCTTATTAAGAATTATAGTTGGTATGAATGAGTTAATCCGTTTTTTGTAATATTTTATTGTAGTAATATGATTCGAACCAGTCCGTCTATACGTAACTGCTATTTCTCGAATTACATTACAATTACTTATGATTAATTCTTATATGAACAGGAATACGGGGAGATACAAAAAACAGCGTGAGAGTAAGAGAGAGAGAAAGAGAGACAGAGAGAGAGAGAGAGAGAGTCACACAAACAAACCACTGAGATACCAAGAAAATCTTAGTCGGTACTTCACCTGTGTTGTAATCGTGAATGCTTTTATAGGGAGACACAGGCTCATCGGCATCCATGTCGGGATTGATGTCAAGACGAAGGAGTTGTGTGTTGTTGTCATAGTACATCTGGAGTAAAAAAAAAAAGAAAAAAATGTGCTAAAAAAAATATATATATAGGTATAAACACGCGCGCACACACACACACACACATACACACACACACACACACGCACACACACACACACACACACACACACATATATATATATATATATATATATATATATATATATATATGTATGTATGTATATATATGCACATATATTGAATAAGCAAGTATATGGTGAAGGGAATTCCACATGTATAATGGATATGGAAAAATATTTAGCTTGTATAAGCATAAATACTCATATTATTATAAGGAAATTGTCCTTTAACCAATGACAGTAAAACAGACAAAGTTAGGTAATTAACTAGTCTCATGATCTATTTCAACTAAAGTCTCCACAAACTCCCTCACACCCAGTCTCTTCCATGAATATACTTCACTTAACCCATTGGTGCCGGGTATGGCGTGTACGTACGTGCTATGCCCACCGTGAGTACTTGTTTGATTGTTTTTACACATAGATGGCAACACTTGTACTAACTCCTCAATGAGCCAGTTACGACCACCGCCCGTCTCGCCCGTTTACCCGTTTCTTTGATTTACGAAATATTTTACGTTATCTTATTTTGCTGTTACTAATGTTAAAAAACATTATAAAAATTATAATGTTTATGATAAAAATAACACGATTTTCATCGATCGATTTTCATAGCACTAGTGAAAAATACGTTTTTCCCGCCATTTCAAATCAGGCGCTAGCAGAGCCATCTATCGGCAGACATTTCACGAAAAACATAGAAAGTGGGCACAGCATTTTCTCCATTTTTTGTTCATTTTCCCCGGCGGCATTGGGTTAAGGACCTAAAGTGTTTTAATAAAACCCTGTGGACATTTCAAGAGATTAGTTCAGATTCCCACACAAATATTAAAAAAAAACTAAATAAAACTAAACTAAATAAAAAAATAAATAAATAAATAAATAGCTGAATAAGTGAATAAATAAATAAATAAATAGCTGAATAAATCAATCAAAAATAAACAGATAAATGGATTAACAGATAAATTGATTAATTAACAGATAGATAAATAAATAAACGGATAAATAAATAAATAAATAAATATATGAATAAATAAATAAATCAACACATGAATAAATAAATAAATCAACATATGAATAAATAAATAAATCAACATATGAATAAATAAATAAATCAACATATGAATAAATGAATAAATAGATAAATAGACAGATACATAGATATATAAATAAACAAATCAACTAGCCAGTAACTCGCACCTCCCCCCCCACCCCCCACCCCACCCCCAGGAAACCCCAAGGCACTCACCCAAGACCGGAAAACCACGGGCGCCGCTTGTGCCTGGCTGCCCTTCAAGTTCACGACGCTCTCGAGGAAGACCTGGAATTTGTTCGGGGGGCTCGGGGGGGACAGCTTATCGGGGTCCATCGTCACGCGGTTCTTGCAGTTGAGGCCGCCCTCCACCTGGTGTTATGGGGGGGAGGGGGGGGGGGGGGAAAGAGGGAAGCGGGAGAGGGAGTGGGAGGGGGGGAAGAGGGAGGGAGAGGGGAAGAGGGGAGGGGAAGAGGGAGAGGGAGTGGGAGGGGGGAAGAGGGAGGGAGAGGGGAGGGGAGGGAGGGGAAGAGGGAGAGGGAGAGGGAGTGGGAAGGGAGGGGAAGAAAGAACGAATTGTGGAATATTAGTTTGTGTTCATTCTTATGATAAATATGATTATTGAAAGTATTTATTGTTATCGTTATCAGAATCGTCGTTGTCATTGTTGTTATTATCATCACGTCATCATCATTATCATCATCGCTAAAATCTGTCTCTGCTGTTTTTGCTAATATTACTATCATCACCATCATCATCATGATCATCATCATCACTCTTACGTTATTTATATGAACATCACCCTCGCTATCCTCTCCATCACTGACATCACTGACATCACCCTTGCCACCCTCTCCAACCCTGACATCACCCCTCCCCCCCCAAGATCTCAGCCACGTCACTTACCAGGTACATCCTATATCTTGAGACATCCACGTAGGGTTTGAAGACGATGAAGTCATACACGACATCTTGAAGGAAACTCGGTATAGAATCGTCCCATGGGTCATTTTGCAGACCGTGTACCTTAGAGAGAGAAAGGGAGAGAGAGAGAGAGATGATGATGATTACGGGAAGTGGAGGAAAAGGAGAGAGAGAGAGAGGGAGAGGGAGAGGGACAGGGAGGTAGGGAGGGAGAGAGTGAGAGAGAAAGAAAGGGAGAGGGAGGGAGGGAGGGAGAGAGAGAGAGAGAGAGAGAGAAAGGGAGAGGGAGGGAGAGAGAGAGAGAGAGAGAGAGAGAGAGAGAGAGAGAGAGAGAGAGAGAGAGAGAGAGCGAGAGAGAGAGAGAGAGAGAGAGAGAGAGAGGAAGGAGGGAGGGAGGGAGGGAGAGAGAGAGAGAGAGAGAGAGAGAGAGAAAGAAAGAAAAGAAAAAAGAAACAAAGACAAACAAACAGACAGACAGAAAGAAAACAATCAAATCAAAGAAAAAACTTACGAAAAAAGGAAGAAAAGAAGAAGAAAAAGAAAAAGACCGAGAAAAAAAACAACAACAGCAAAACGCACACACAAAAAAAAACATCTTTCCCTCTCACCTTCACCTGCAGCGGCGCCTTCAGATTAATTCCCTCCAAAGAGTGTCCGTAAGGCATCTGCCACTCGTCGACGGCGAAGTAGTAGTCAAGAGTATAGTTATCTCTTGTCTCCACGAACCAGTGATCGGCCATGATGCCTCGGACCTCTACGATGCCTTTGTATTCCTAAATAAAGTAGATAGATAGGTAGATAGATAGATAGATGTCTTTCTAAATAAAGTAGATAGGTAGGTAGATAGATAGATGTATTCCTAAATAAAGTAGATAGGTAGGTAGATAGATAGATGTCTTTCTAAATAAAGTAGATAGGTAGATAGATAGATGTATTTCTAAATAAATTAGATAGGTAGATAGATAGATAGATGTATTCCTAAATAAAGTAGATAGGTAGGTAGATAGATAGATGTATTCCTAAATAAAGTAGATAGATAGGTAGATAGATAGATTGATGTCTTTCTAAATAAAGTAGATAGATAGATAGGTAGATAGATAGATGTATTTCTAAATAAATTAGATAGATAGATAGGTAGATAGATAGATGTATTCCTAAATAAAGTAGATAGATAGGTAGGTAGATAGATAGATGTATTCCTAAATAAAGTAGATAGATAGGTAGGTAGATAGATAGATGTATAGGTAGATAGATAGATGTATTCCTAAATAAAGTAGATAGGTAGGTAGATAGATAGATGTATTCCTAAATAAAGTAGATAGATAGGTAGGTAGATAGATAGATGTATTCCTAAATAAAGTAGATAGATAGGTAGGTAGATAGATAGATGTATTCCTAAATAAAGTAGATAGATAGGTAGGTAGATAGATAGATGTATTCCTAAATAAAGTAGATAGATAGGTAGGTAGATAGATAGATGTATTCCTAAATAAAGTAGATAGATAGGTAGGTAGATAGATAGATGTATTTCTAAATAAATTAGATAGATAGATAGGTAGATAGATAGATGTATTTCTAAATAAATTAGATAGGTAGGTAGATAGATAGATGTCTTTCTAAATAAAGTAGATAGATAGGTAGGTAGATAGATAGATGTCTTTCTAAATAAAGTAGATAGGTAGGTAGATAGATAGATGTATTCCTAAATTAAGTAGACAGTTAGGTAGGTAGATAGATAGATGTATTCCTAAATAAAGTAGATAGATAGGTAGGTAGATAGATAGATGTATTTCTATATAAAGTAGATAAATAGATAGGTAGATAGATGTATTCCTAAATAAAGTAGATAGATAGATGGATGGATTCCTAAATAAAACAGATAAATAGATAGATGTATTCCTAAATAAAGTAGATAGATAGATAGGTAGGTAGGTAGATAAAGGGAGATAAATAGGTAAAGTGAAAAAATGCCTTTATATTCCTAAATAAAGTAGATAGATAGATAGATGTATTCCTAAATAGAGTAGATAGATAGGTAGGTAGGTAGGTTGATAAAGGGAGATAAATAGATGAGTGAAAAAATAAAGCTTTTTTTTATCTTATTCTGTTTTATTGTGTTTACTTAATTTGTTGATTTACTTTTATTTATATATCAATTTTGTATTCCTTAGAGAGAGAAAACAAAATAAAAAGAAAAAAGAAAATGTATTATCTTTATAATCCTTAAAAGAAAGAAAAAAAAACGCAGGACCTTTGCATTTCTTAAAAAAAGGAAAATAAAATAAAACTGTATTATTTTCCTATTCCTAAAAGAAAACAAACGAAGAAAGAGAGAAAGAGAGAAAGAGACTACTCCCCCAACCCCTTCCTCCACCACCCCCCTCCCCCCTCTAACCCCCCTACCCCCTCCTCCACCCCCCTCCCCCATCCAACCCCCTCCCCCCTTTAACCCCCCCCCAACCCCCTCCTCCATCCTCCCCCCTCCAACCCCCCTCCACCCACCATCCAACCCCCTTCCTCCAACCCCATCCCCTCCCCCTCCACCCCTCCCCCATCCTCCACCCGCAAAAAATAGAAACATAAACCCAAAAATCCACCCAAAAAAGAGAGAAAGAGAAAGAAAGAAAACAAAAAAACACCCCAAAAAAAGAGAAAGAGACAGAAAAAAAACAAAAAACACCCAAAAATGAGAGAAATAGAAAGAAAAACCTAAGAAAAAAAAGAGAGAGAAATAGAAAGAAAAAACAAAAAAACACCCAAAAAAGGGAGAAAGAGAAAGAAAAAAAAAACAAAAAAAAGAGAGAAAGAGAAAGAAAAAAAAAAAAAACCCACCCAAAAAAAAGAGAAATTGAAAGAAAAATAAAAAAAACACCCAAAAATAAGAGAAAGAGAAAGAAAAACCTAAAAAAAAAGAGAAATAGAAAGAAAACCCCAAAAACCCACCCAAAAAAGAGAGAAATAGAAACAAAAAACCTAAAAAACCCACCCAAAAAGAGAGAAATAGAAACAAAAACCCAAAAACCCACCCAAAAAAAGAGAGAAAGAAAAAGAAAAACCAAAAAAAAAACACCCAAAAAGAGAGACAAATTAGAAAGAAAAACCAAAAAAAAAAAGAAATAGAAACAAAAAAAAAAAAAAAAACACTCAAAAATAGAAACAAACAAAAACAAAAACCCAAAAAACCCACCCCAAAAAACTCACCATCTGGATCGAATAGTCCCTGACCAGCCTCAGCAGCGCCGAGGGGCCGTAGAGGAAATTCTTCTTACCGTTGGGGTCGTCGCTCACGTAGTGCCAGCCCCACAGGTGGTAGCCCTTGTGGTCGACCAGGCTGTGGGGGGAGGGGGAAGGGAGGGAGGGGGTGGTGAGGGTCGTTATAAGGGTGGGGTATAAGGGGGTAGGGGGTGGTATCAGGGGGGTGAGTGTGGTATAAGGGGGTGAGTGTAGAATAAGGGGGGTGAGTGTGGTATAAAGGGAAGATGAGTTTGGTATAAGAGGGGAGTGAGTGTGGTATAAGGGGGAAGGGAGGTAGTGTGGAATAAGAGGGGAGTGTGTGTGGTATAAGAGGAAGATGAGTATTGTATAAGGGGGTATGAATGTGGTATAGGGTAAGTGATGGGACGTGGCGAGTGTGATTTAAGGAATGTGATGAATGTAGTATAAGGTTAGTGAAGGAAAGTTTTAAGTGTGGTATCAGGTACCAAGTTAAGTTTTTAATATGGTATAAGGTAAGTAAACGTAAGTTCTGGATGTGGTATAAGGTATAAGTCTTCAGTGTGGTGATAGGTAAGTGAACGTAAGTATATACGAAATTATGTAAGTAAAAGTAAGTATTGAATAAGACACAAGTGAAGGCAAGTTTTGAATGAAGTATATGTAAAGGCAAGTTATAAATGCAGTAAAAGGTAAGTGAAAGTAAGTTTTAAATGCGGCAAATGAAAAAAAGTATTATTGAAAATGACAAGTTTTAAATATAACATTCAAAGACGCTTTCCTTCTATAGTATTTCCTTCGTAAGCTAATAACAAGGGCAGTAGAGAGGATATAACACTGATAACAAGTCCAAGAGATCTATGACATTGCAATGAATGACGTAATCGAGGGAAGTCAATTGAACCGTTGGGAATTGCACTTGACCGGCACGTGGTGATTGGCACTAGCGACCAGTCTATTAGAGACAGTAAGAATTGCAATAGATAATCACTTGGTAGAAACTCGAGCCGAGGGGAGTCAGTTAAAAATCAAAATCGGCTCCGTCTTGGTTAGGCTGTGTATAAGGTGCTGTTTGGCCTTTAAAATGATTAAATATTGCGGGAATAACGAAAGGTGGGAGGGTAGGGGGGGTAGGGGCGGTTAGGTATCCCCCTTGAAAGCGAGTTAGTTAGGGAACGAAGCCCACTATTTTACTATGAATGTGCTTCACAATAACTAAATAAATTAATGTTTTCCTTGGATCATACGCTTTTACTCAGCAATTTACGCGAAACACTTAATCTTTCCCTCCCCAGATATCTTGGTCGGTCTCGTTGTTGTGTTTTCATTTGCTAAGGAATTGACTGTTTCATTGATTCGAAACACAAGAAGAGCTTTCATTAGAACATATATATTTTTTTTTTTTTTTTTTTTTTTTTTTTATCCGGAAATCGGTGTTCGGTGTCCTTTTCCAAGTTTACCGACGATAAGTTTTAAATGCGTTATGTACAATGTGAATATAACACGTTTTGGAAATGTTTCCAGTTAAATGAAATTGAGTTTTGAACTTGCCATAAGGAAAAGTTTTATGAGGGAAGTGCTGAACATATCACAAGGTAAGTGTTTAATGTGCTATGTTCATTTGACAAAAGTTGATTTTTTAGTGTTTTGAAATGCCCAAAAAAGAATGGATTGTGTGATATGTTAGGTTAAATACGTAGGTTGTTTTTTATGAATTCAGGAATGAACGATGAGACAATTTTAATGCCTAAAGAATGTTAATTAATTGTGCATAGTTATAATTTTCATAAATGTCGAGAAAGTGTTTCACCTTATTAAATTTAAGTGCCAAGAAAAAGTAGGCTTACATATAGAACTTCTATAGAATATTAATAATAACAATGGAGTAATGATAATACTTTTAGGATAATGAAAATATGAAAATAATGAAAACAACAATAATAATGATAATAATTACACTTGCATTTACAGTTTAAAAAATACTAAAAACAACTAAAACTCCATAAAACAAACATAACAACAAAAAAAGAAAAGAAAAAAAGTAATAAGAATAGTGACAAAAAAATAAATAGTAATCATTTTAACAAATAATAAAATTAACTAAGATAATAAAAATAGTAACAAAAAATAATACAAAAAAATAAAATAGAATAAAATAGCTTACCCTCCCACTTCACAGTCCGTCCCGCTCACCACGAACGTCTGGCTTGACTTCGTATAATAATTTGTCTTGGTGATTTTGCCATGCTCGGTCGTCACCAAAACGCCTTGCTCTTCGTTGATGTCATAGACTTCGTCCACTATCATGCTGGCGCCTACTTTCTGTTTGTGGGGGGCGGGGGGAGGAGGAAAAGGAGGAGGGGGAGGGGGAGGAGGAGGAGGAGGAGGGGGAGGAGGAGGAGGAGGAGGAGGAGGAGGAGGAGGAGGAGGAGGAGGAGGAGGAGGAGGAGGAGGAGGAGGAGGAGGCGGAGGGAAGAGGAGGAAGAGGAGGAGGAGGAGGAGGTGGAGGGAGTGGAGGGAGAGGAGGAGGAGGAGGAAGAGGAGGAGGAGGTGGTGGTGTTGGTGGAGGAGGAGGAGGAGGAAGAAGATGAGGTGGAGGAGGAAGAGGAGGAGAAGGAAATGATAATATAATTATTATAAACGGCGTAGGGAAATGGTTGGAGAAGGAGAAAGGGAAAAAAATAATTGT